CCGGGTTGCGGGCTCCATCCCCAGTCAGGGGGCGTGCAGGAGGCAGCCGGTCCATGTTTCTCTCTCTCTTCCTTCCTCTCTGAAATCAATAAAACATTATTTTAAATAAAAATATATACTTTCCAGCTTAACCAAGCGAAATTTCGAACCGGATTCAACTCGCTATTGGCAAAGCCAGGCACCAGGGAAGGAAGACACGATCGCAATGCAGAGGGACATTTAGAGTGAGGCACCCATGTATTATTTTAATATATTTTTTTAAATTGATTTCGGAGAGGAAGGGAGAGGGACGGAGAGAGAGAAACAGCCGTGATGAGAGAGAACTGTGGATTCTTTTACGGAGAACAGTGAACTGTGCTGAAACCCAGAGCGACGGAATCGCTGGCCTGTGACCCTGGCCATCGGCTGCCTCGCTCAGCACGGCCAGCGGACACAGAATCCTCTCGCTCAACGCGGACAAAGGTGCCTCAGGCCCTTCTGGATCCTGCTTTCCGAGAGCAGCTCCACGCGGTCGCACGGCCCCTGTCCACACCGCCTGCCCTGGGGTCTGGCCACTTTGGCACACGGGCAGCGGGGTTCAAGTCAGGTCAGCGGCCAGCCTGTCTCAGGATAATACCCGGGGCTTTCCAACCCCTACCAGCAACCGAGGTCTGTGCCGTGACCGGGAATCGAACCCACAACCTTGGGGCGCGCGGGAAGTTACATGAAAGTAGATATAACCAGAGTCACGCATGCCAAAACACTACACACAAGCCTCACTTACTACGCAAGAGAAATTCGGCCCTAACCGGTGTCGCTCAGTGGATAGAGCGTCGGCCTGCGGACTGAAGGGTCCCGGGTTCGATTCCGGTCAAGGGCATGTACCTGGGTTGTGGGCACATCCCCACTAGGGGGTGTGCAGAAGGCAGCTGATCGATGTTTCTCTCTCATCGATGTTTCTAACTCTCTATTCTTCTCCCTTCCTCTCTGTAAAAGAATCAATAAAATATATTTTTTTTAAAAAAAGAGAAATTCATATGAAACCATGCAAAACACCCTGTTTAACTTAATTTCATTTACTTTTACTTTCCCATGGACTTTCAGGGAGAGTGAGAGAGAGGGAGAGACAGAGAGAAACCTCGATGTGACAGAAACACATCCATGGGCTGCCTCCTGCACGCGCCCCGACCAGGGCCCAGGCCCGGGAGGAGCCTGCAACCGAGGTACGTGCCCTTGAACCGGAATCGAACCCGGGACCCTTTGGTCTGCAGGCCGACGCTCTATCCACTGAGCCACACCGGCCAGGGCCATTTTTTTTTTTTTTTTAAAGAAAGAAACAGTCCAGGCGAACCCCCCAGGCAGCCCACCGCAGCCTTCCTGCCTCCCTCCCGTCGCTGCGGGCTGTGGTGACCGGGCCGCGTTCTGACAGAGACGACGGGGAACCCCAACACGAACACCAGCACCCAACCAGGTTCCCACAAGCTTTTGAGGAAGATGAAGGCCGTAAAGGAGAAATGCCCGGCCTCACCCAGCGAGCCTGCAGGCTGGGCAGGCAGCGGAGCAGCAGGGAGGGAGCCCTGCCCACCCCCACCCCCCCGACCCCCCAGGAAGCAAAACAGAACTGAGTTTCCAGCTAATGGAGCCAAGGACCCGGGACCCCTGGGAGCAGGACCCCCCGGGCAGGGAAAGATGGGGCAGATCTTGGGCCTCAGAGTCCCCAAGGGGAAGTGGGCAGAGACAAAGCAAGACAGGGTCCTCTCAGATCTGAGAGCTGGCATTTCCCCTTTTTTGTGAATTCTCACCCAAGCATATTTTTCCCATTGATTTTTTTTTTAGAAAGAGTGGAAGGGAGTCAGGGGGAAGAGAGAGGGAGTGAGGAGAGAAAAAGAGCAAGAGAGACACCTATGTGAAAAAGCCACATGGATTGGTTGTACACACTGAGACGGTGGGGCTGGGGGGAGGGCAGGGATTGAACCTGCCCTTGATCCAGGTACGTGCCCTTGATCGGGAATCGAACCCGGGACCCTTTGGTTCATGGGCTGACGCTCTAACCGCTGAGAAATACCGGCCAGGGCAGAGCCTACATTTCTTTTTCATCATCTTTTTTTTATTGTTGTTGTTAATGCTCACCCAAGGGCATTTTCCCATTGATTTTTAGGGAGAGTGGAGGAGAGAGAGAGAAACATCGATGTGTGAGAGACACATGACTGGCTGGCTCCCGCACGGTGCCCAGCTGGGGGCGGGGGTG